TGCACAAATTATAAACGCCTACCTCCCAAGTTATTAAGAATTTTTTCCATAAAGGTTTTTGTTCTTACTGCCACTAGAATATAATTCCGATCTTAGTTCAGCATCATTACCAAGTAGTGATTGATGTATTCATATATACATATATCTGCTTGTGTGTATTCAGTACGCCGAATTTGGTCCCTTATGTCACATGGAGCGGATTGTGCGGAAGCGGAATGAGCGAATTGCCAATCACAAAACAATTCTGATAGAACTCTTTAAAAAATTCCGTCGTAACAATCCTGTGATTGGCGATCCGTTGATTCCGCTTCCGCGTAATCCGCTCCATGTGACATAAGAAACCAAATTCGGCGTATCGAAAACGGCGGATCGTCCGTGATTGGTCGTGAAGTTTGATACGCCCGATACGCGCGTATCGCGATACGCGTCATGGGACGTCACCCTCATTCGGTCGAGTTTTCCTTGCGTGCTCGCGTTTACCGACCTCCGACCAGTCCGACCTGCACTGGCTGCACTTCCTGTCAGGCCTGGTTGCCATGGTGGCCGAAGTCATGGCTATAATGGAAACAAACAAACCGGGAGCTGCCCGAGGCCCACTGCTCCGAGTCAGTGCGATTCGACGCGTCATGTGTCCACGCTAACGTTGAACATCTCGCGCGTGCTGGCGTTTTTGTGAAATTCCCCTCGGACGACCTCCGCCACGTGTGCACTCTCGGATCGGCCGACACGGGCGATGCCGAATCGCGACGACGGCGTCGACAAGCGTACCAGAGAAAAGGTAGGTCGTAAATGCCTCCGCGTATCCTCGTGGAGAGGTTGCCGACGTGAATTCCCTCGGCCTCTTATATTCCTTGTTGCAATCGCAGCGCAGCAGTCGGAGGATCTCGGTCGCGGAAAGTGAGCTGGAGCCGGTGCACAGGCCGGTGCGCTACAAACGGTTTCACAGAACAAAGCGTCACTCAAGGGCGAACGGCGAATTGGAGGAGTCGGCGGACAAAAATGGAAACGGCAACGGCATCGCACCGCCCAAGAAGGGCGGCAAGCACAGCGTTCAGAAAAAAATTGACAGATTAGTTGAGGAAAATCGGATACTGACGATGAAGCTTGAAAGCTCCGACATGAACCCTGGTAAATTCTCGCTAATGATATGAAATATACTGATGATATGAAATAATACTCGTTGCTGAGATACGGTCGAGAAAATGTTCCGTAAAATTTCAGAGGCTGCTGCGGAATTGAGAGAGAAGGATTCCTTGTTGTCGAGAATTTGCAACAAGTACCAGAAATTGTTAAAGAATCACGACAGCCTGCGGCAAGAATACGAGAAAGTAAGCGCACTTTCGGCGGAGCGCGAAACGGAATATCGCCAGTTGCACGCGCATCACAAGAAGTTCACAGAGGCTTTGCAGAAAGTGGAGAAAACCAATTCTGGCCTTTTGACTTTTAATCAAAGATGCAGAACCGAGAATGCACAGCTGAACGAAGACGTGCTGCTGCTCAAGCACGTGATATATCGTCTGAACGCAGAGCTCGAGAGATATCAAGACAAATTGAAAGAATCCGGGCAGAATAGCGTCCTATCTAAAAATATTAATGACGCCTTAGATTCTAAGAGACCAGCAGATGATCTCAAAGCGGTATCGGAGTCGTGGGGTACGGTGAATACTCATGTGCTGGGTCCACTTTTGGACGCTTATCAGGAGAGCCTGTCGGAGAAGCAAGAGCTTGTAAATAAATACGAGGAGGACATCGCGAATTTTAGCACCAGGTGCAAGGAAGTCATTGTAGAGAACGAATATATGCAGAGCGAAATGGAGAAACTGAAGTCAAAGGTATTCTATTTATAAAAAAAAGATTGTCGTGCACCTTACACATTGTATACACATTATTGTATACACTGAAAAAAATCTCTATCTGATAAACCAATTAAATAGTGTTTCCGATGGTTAATTTTTCCGATTACGTTTTCCGATTAAATTATCGATACATCTGATAAAATTTATCCGTTGAAATGCAGTTACCGATGAAATTTGATTGAAAAACCGATCACATTTTTCATCGGATATACAATTTAATCGGATATATCCGTTTGTTATTATGTAATTGGATTATCCGATTGTATTTAATCGGACATTTTTCTCAGTGTAGTAAAAGTTTTTCAGTGTGCCAGGTACACGGATGAGATCAAGATGATATCTGAGGACGCTGACTTGCTCAAGGAGTTGAACGAGTGTTACACGAGACAGACCGCTCACCAAAAGCAAAAGATACACGAGATCCACTCGTTGTACGAACAGAAAGTGGAGGCGATGTCATTTGACAATAATAGACTTCACGAGGGATATCTCGCTTCCAAGACTGAATTGAGTAATTGTCAAGGGAAATACGACGTTCTCCATAAGGAATACGAGAAGTTGCAAAACGATAATGCAAAAACAATGCCTATGCACGTTCACAATGCTGCCGTCGAGGAGTGTAAAGAATTGTTTGAGAAATTGAAGCGTCAGTATGAGACCGAGAAGGAGAAGCTGTCCGCTCGCATTAAAGAACTGGAAGAATCCTGCGGCCAAAATAACGCGCAACTGGACGTAGTTACGATAGAAAGAAATCAACTGAAAGCTTTGAACAAAAGCTTCGAGAAGCGTTTCAAGTGAGTCTCGCATCAACGCGTTAGAAATTAATTATAATTTTCATTTAAATAAAATTTGATTTCAATTTCGGTTCCTTTCTTCTTCTTAGACGTATGCAGCGGAAACTGGAGCACTTTCAAAAGGTCGCACACACCGTGCAAATATCCCGAGATTCTTTTAAGAAGCAGTTAAGGAAAACTACGTTATATTGCGAAGAGTTATTCGGTGAGTACGAAAGGATGGCCGCCGAACGGGACAAGCTCGTCGCACTTTTGCACGAGACAGAAAATGAAAATGCAAGTATTCATTTACTCGGCGATACTATCACTCAACGCGTGGGCCACCTAAAGGAGCAATTAAAGGTATACATACACAGGAAAGATTCACGTTAGAAATATATAAATAAAAATGTAGAGCTTGTAGTCGATCAGACTGTCTGGTTTATTTTACTTCTTTATTGTACTATATTTTTATTTAATTTTACCACTGGTGACTATAAGAACACCCAAGCTTGTTTTGAAATATATACTTTTTGTCGATTTTTTAAATATGGTCACGTTAGGTCGTGCACGAAGGTGCCAAGCAGCAATTAGAGCTGGCGGAAAAAAATATGAAAGTGCAGCAGCTCGGGGTGCATCGAATGAAGGACGAGTACCACCGGGAGCTGCAACGCTTCAAGCATCTGCTGAGGCAGAAGGAGGAAACGATCGGTCGGCTGCAGAAGGAGATTAGCGCGACTCGCGAGAACCTGGAGCTCGTTTGGAAGGTCACCGCCGCGGACAGCAAGAAAGTCAAAGGGCCGCTGAAAAGCGCCAAGATTCAGCACGTTTAGTCAAGCTTAGCAATGTATAGTCCACGCTGGAGGTGTAAAATAAATCCAATTTCGTCCCCAGTATCGAGAAGCGCGATGAGAAAACGTCGCAGCGTAAACTTCAAACACGCCCTAACGCTTGTTACTTATAGTGAATTCGGTTGCTTGCATTAGCGCGCACTAAGGCTTGTTTGCAGTCAATACTTATATTTAAGAATCGTCTTAAATATCTTTTGAAATATTCCTTAGCCAGTAAAATGATCTGTATAGCATCCATACGGATAATTTTTTAGCTAAATATTCTTTGAGCATGTATTTGAGACAAAGTTAAATATAAAAATTGACTATAAACAGGCCTCAGTGTGCATTCACTGCGCACTAGTGCAAGCAATCGAATTTACTATTAGAAAAACTTTATCAGCTGTAAGTGGAAGCTAGTCATTGTACAATACACGTGTAGCATAATGTATGAAACGCAACCTTTGTAATTTATTATATACACGATTACATAAACGTTTAATTACGCCATTTCTTATTGTATCTTCATCCAGATGTGGCAAGATCGGTCCGACGTTGCGTCACGAATTTAAAAAGTGGCGGCGGCACCGCCGCCGCCGCCGAGATAATGTATTCCGTATGATAATGACACGCTTCTCGTGTCAAATACACCTGAACGCGCTCGCTCGGAGCGCAAGCGGAGGAGGAAACGGCAGATTTATCGATAGTATCACCGGCTTTATTTAATGGTGACATCAACCAGCAAAAGGTTCTGAAGGTTGCCGTTGGTGACAGTGGAATTAACAGTCGGGGAACCGCGTGGCATGAAAAATTGACGTCCCCACTTATGTAGCAGAGTGATCTCACGTTCCATTAATATTAACATGCAAGGCGCGTGAGCACGGCTCGTAATCGCCTTACATCGCACCTTGCGCCCGCTAAACGGCTCTTTGCTAATTGACGTTTTTTCTTCGGGCGGAGATAATCTATAAACATTGGCTCTTACGCTGATATTACGATAATACGTGCCAGTACCGAGAAAACACTTCAGATTATTATAACACTCGCGGTCGATTCGTTGTTCCCTTTTAGTGTCAAGTCATCTCTATTAAAAAGATTGCATCTTTGCAATTATATTTATCAGTTCCGTCGCGGAGCGTCAATATCAAAAGATTCCGTTCTTCCTATTTACTTTTCGTTAGAAAAATTCTCTTAGCAGCGAACTAATTCATCGCAAGATTGCAACATTGATATGTATATATATACATA